CCCCTTCCCACTTTTCCCCGGCGGCCGTGCATCACTGTCACGATTGGAGATCGCCCCTCAGCCACCGTGCAGTTGTTCGATCTTCCGCCGCTGTAGCCGATCGATTTGAGCGCCGCTTCGCAACAACGGGTAAAAAGCCACATATCTTTTCTTCACTCGGGTTAGTCTCAGTTTTGATCTTTGTTCTGATCGGCAGCTACGCGTAACTCGTACGAGGGTATCCTGACGCCGCTGGTTAAACCCGGTGGCGGGGAGTTTGGGAAGTACTACAGTCTCCCCGCGCTCAATGATCCAAGGATCGGTGAGTTCTGCAGTGCAATATTTATGTTTGGGTGTGATAGGTTCGGTTTTTAGTTAGGAAGAACGCTCCTTCAACTATGCGTAGCACAACTGAATTCATTTCATCTTGGCCACACTTCTTTTTATTTTTTAATTAAAAGTTTTGTTTCAATAAATATAATATTTAAATTTTTAAAGAAGTGGTTGATATGAGTTTAGCTTTCAGTGGGGTGGACATGTACTCTTCTGTTTCTTTAACGGCAGTATTGGATGCAGATCGGCTGCCGTACTCAATAAAAATTCTGCTGGAGTCAGCGATCAGGAATTGTGACGAGTTTCAGGTGTCGGGAAAGGATGTGGAGAAGATTATTGATTGGGAGAATTCTGCGCCGAAGCAGGTGGAGATTCCGTTCAAGCCTGCGCGAGTTCTTCTTCAGGTTCTGACCATAGACTCCTAGAGCTTGAGTGCTTTGGAATTACTTCTTCTAAATTACTGCCTAATTTTTTCCAACTTTTGGAGTAGTCGTCCTTTCTTTTTTATAATGGAGAATGTGCCGTCTTTTCTGTATTTTTAATCCTGCCGTTAGTTGCATGCATTTTTTTTATAAAAGAAGCTTTTTTAATTTCATTGTGATTAAACACCTAATGGGCCAACGTTCTTTTGACAATCATTAGTTTTTTTTTCTTTTGTAATTGATAAGATTGTTTTACGGAATAATAAAAAAAAATGCCTGATTTATTTATTTGAGGATTGTTGGGTGTTAAGACAAGTGAGCCTAAGAAGCATCAATCTAATGTGTGATGTTTTCTAATTATCTCTATTCAAAAACTCTTAATGTTCATGCTGCCTAAAGTTAACGGTGTTGTGATGTAGATATACACTATAGGCTTTAATCAATTAGAAATAAAAACCACATTGCGAAATAGGATCACACCAGTTTGAGAAATTGAGAATAAAAAGAAATCGAATAAAAGCATAACAAAGTAATCTAAGAAAATTACATCATGATTTATATAGAAAAACATGAGAACGGAAAAAAATCATGGAGTCATACCATAAAAAAATTTCACTATTAATCATAAATATACAAAAGTACTTATATTAATCATTTAAAAACACAAAATTTTATAGAATTTTGCTGCAAATTCTCTCTCAATCTCACAAGAAGAAGCCCTCGCAGAACTCATTATCGACTCTTTTTTGTTTCATGAAAATGCTATCGAGAATGCCGCACACGGGAGAGATCTACTTCGTAGCTTTAATCGTGAACGTGAGAAGTTATTCCGGCGGTGTAACTACGCCCAAAAACAACGTAATTATTTTGCTTGCCCAGGAAGGAAGCAAATGATTTGAAAGATTGTGGCGTAGCTATGCCCATGACGGCGTGGTTACGTTACTTGATATAGTTACGCCAAAATCGGGCGCGGCTACGCTAAGAACAAGCACAAGAGCGCCCACAAGGAGGTGATGGAGTGCTCCTGGGTGCTTCAAGCTTCATTTCACAACAATCTTCCATTTGGAAACAGATAGCACCAGCACTTGCCGCCAAATCTATACCTCCATGTATATCATCTTCATAGTCCCATATAGTGGTGTGGCTTACCTTTGTTCTTAACTTTCATGGACTTCAATTGAAGGCAAACATAGCTCTAGTTTCCTAATAGTCACTACCTTCGTCAACATGTCTACATGATTCTGAGCTATTTGTATCTTTTCTAAGAATAACTACCATATTCTAGAAGAGACGTATAAAGTGATACATCGGTTGAATGTGCCTCATCATAGGATAAAAATTAACATTTTTAGCAAGACGAGTGACACATATAATGTCACTATAAAACATTCCCACGCCTTGCCCAATTATGCCATAAAACCCTATAGCCAAATCATCTCATTGTTAGCTTCGGTGTAGCAATGTATTCGCCTTTATAGTTGAAAGTGTAATAATATCTGGCAACATGAAAGCCTAACTTATTGCTGTGTTCATTGAAGTGAAGTATATTCTTCTGTATTCCTATCATCCAAATCTCCTACCAGATCTGAATTTGTAAATCTTTGTAGATCAATTTTTGCACTTCGATAGCAAAGTATCATGTTGACTGTTTCTCTAAAATATTTGAGAATCAACTTCATTGCCTCCTAATGATGTTTTCCCAGATCACATATGTACCTGCTGACTACTCTCACTGCATATGCAATATTTGGTCAGACACAAATCATTGAATATACCAGACTTCCAACTACTGAAGCATAAGGTTTTCTCCCCATCTGCGTTTGCTCTTTTTTATACTTACGTGATGATTCCTTCGATAGCTTAAAGTGACTTTCTAATGGGGTGCAAACAGGCTTTGTCCCACCCATTTTGAACCTATGATCTTCTCAACATATTTTGCTAAGATAATTTCAATATATTTGCACTGCTGGCACTGCTGGCACTGCTGCTTAAAGATTTTTTTAGTTTGACCTAAAATTTTCATCTCAAACTCACTTGGCAATTTCTTCTTTAAGTATCTGATTTTCTCCGTATCTGCCCCTGCATTCAACATGTCATCCACATATAAAAGGAGCAAGATATAACAATCACCGAAGTGTTTGATGAAACCATAGTGATCTGCCTGACACTTCATGTACCAATTGTTTGACATGATGCTGTCAAATCTTCTCTTGTTCTCGTGGCCTGCTTCAAGTCATAAATACTCTTGTTGAACCTGCAGACCAAAATTTTCTTTTCTTGGAATAGCTCCTGTTTTAGAATTCCATGCAAGAATGTTCTCTTTACATCTATCTGCTCAAAATGTCAATCTTCCTCTATTATCAAACTCAACAGAACTTTGACGGTTGTCATCTTTGTTATAAGAGAAAAATTTCAGTGTAGCCAACTCATTCTTTCTACTGAAACTTCTTCATAATAAGTCTTGTCTTGTAGCTTTTGTTACCATGTGACTTGTCTTTCAACTTGTACACCTATTTGTTGTGTAATGTTATTTTGTTATCTGGTAATACCACCAAATCCAAGGTCTGATTTGACTTTAAGGACTGGATTTCATCATCCACCACAAACCCTCATTCTCTTGAAACTTCAACTTGAGTGACCTCCTCATAGCATTATGATTCACCACTATTTGTTAGCAACAAATTGTACAAAGAAGGATAATACCTCAAAGTCAGTCGATTAAGTCTACTCAAGCTCTTGATTTCAATAGTAGTTGACTGGGAAACTTTCTGTGCTTCATTACATTGAACACATATTCTTTCTCTTCCCACCTAATCATCAAAATCCTCTATCTCAATATACTTGGAATATTCATAATTAAGTGATAGATAATCCTAAGTTATGATTATGTCTTTATCCATCTCCATTTTATTGAATGTAACATTTCTACTCCTCGTGACTTTTTGATTTTGATAGTTTCAAAACTTGCACCCAAAGAGCCATAATTAATGAAGGTGCATTTCACATATTTCAATTTTACTCATTTACCTTAAATTAACATGTACATATGCAGAACACTTAAATACCTTCAAGTGAGATAGATTTACCTCTTTATCATTCCAAACTTTTTCAGATAGGCCTTTCTTCAAAGATGCTGACAGACAACGGTTGATTAGATGCACTGCAGTGTTCATGCTACTGCCCAAAACTGTCTTGGAAAGCCTACATGCAACCTCATACTACTAGCACACTCCGTAATTGTTATGTTTATGTGTTCGGCTACTTCATTTTGTTGTGAAGTTCTTAGAACAATTAACTCATCATGATCTTGTCTGAAACATAATAGTTCCTGTAACTTTTGATCACAATACTCACCACCATTATTTGATCAGAAACTTGTGTTGCATGTCTATCTCATTTTCTATCATAGTCTTTCACTTCTTAAACACTTCAAATACGTCTGATTTTTTGCTTCAAGTAAACTCATACATTTTTGGTGTGATCGTCAATAGATGCGACAAAGTAGTGATGACCTCTAATGAACTAAATTGGAGTAAGAAAATCTTCACAGAAGTATAAACCTACTTATTTCAACTCCTAAAACTTTTTTTTTGAAATCATAAACTTTATACCTTTCTCGCTCATATTGTCAAGCCAACTGTGCCATATACTGACACCCATGTTGGTTTCAGGCACATAAATGAAATTCACCATCTCTTTAATCAGATAAAACGTGTCTTCATTATTGCCCCGAGCCATCACCGTTGCCCTCTGGTCACCTTCCACGAGTCACCTTTGAAGGTAGTGAGAAAGTCTGACTTTGTCAGTTGGCTCGCCGATATCAGATTTCTCTTCAAACTTAGAACATAGCTAACGTTGGTAAGCCTCTAGTCTATTTTATTTTTCAATTTGATATTCAAATCATCTTTTAACAATATTACATGCCTTATTGTCTCTCAAACAAACCTTCCATAAATCACTCTAATTGTAATTATTGAATACTTGTTTATTGGGGCACGTGTGAAAAGAGACATCTGAATATACTATTCATGATTTAGTGCTTTCTAGGGATAAAATCATGGAGTTACTTTGGATTTCGTCTGCGAAGACATTTGTAGAGAAATTTCTTTCTTATTCACCACCGGCCTTCCTTGAAGCTTTACCGTCCTTCTTGAAGTGTTATTTCTTTTCACAGTTTCATTATTCTCATCTGTCATTTCTTTTGCTTGGCCTGAACGTTCTTCTTTTTTATTTGAATCTGTTATTCCTGTCCGGATTCTTTCCCCTATTTTTTAGCATTCAACGCAAAACTTAAAGATACCATTCTCTGCCATTCTGCAAACTTTTTCATTTAGCACCAATCCCATAATATCATTAAAGTTCAACTTCATATTTCTAAAAGAGTTACCAGTATGACCAAACTATCCTAGCTGTTTGACAATGAAGATAGAATTAACAGTGCTTTGGCCTCATCATCAAATTTAATTTCTACAGAACACAAATGACTCATTACAGTGTTGAAATTGTTTAGATGTTCTGCCACTAAATTGACTTTCATCATCTTCATGTTGAATATTCTCTTCATAAAAAAAATCTTATTTGAAAGAAAAGTTTTTTTCGTACATCTTTGTCAGTGCCCCCATGAGATCCACCTTGGTTTTCTTTTAAACTATATTGAATGTAACAAACAAGAAAAGTGACAAACGGATCAAAATTAGGATCGTTCAACCTAGATCCTCTCATTCCTTCATAGTCATAGATTCATGCTTCTTGGTGATTCCTTTTAGTGACAAATATAATTTTTCTGATACAATAAATCATCCACTTGCATCTTTTAAAATGCGAAGTTTGATCTATTGAACTTTTCAACTTTGTACATTATTTCGTCGGCCATTGCTCTCGCTTGAATCAAACGCTCCGCTTTGATACCACCTGTTGGGATGGAAATATACACTTTTGGCGTCAATTATAAATAAAAACCACACCGCTGAATAGAATCGCCACCAATTTGAGAAATTTATAATAAAAAAATCAAACAAAAGCACAACAAAGTAATCTAAGAAAAACAAACTTAGATTTATGTAGAAAATTTCAAGAACGGAAAAAAAATTATTGAGCCACACCACCAAAAATTTCGGTATGAATAACACAAAATATTTATAAATATTCACCCATATCAACTCTATGAAAATAATGAAACTTACAAAACTTTGCTCCAAACACTTTCTCAATTTTACGAGAGAAAGCCTCCACTAAAATTATCTTTCTCAACCCTTCACAAAAAAATGCTATCTAGAATGCCACTTGTGCGAGAGATCTACTTTGCCGCTTTAGTCGCGACTTAATAATCGTAACATGAGAAACGATCTCAGTGGCGTGATTATGCTCAGAAACAACGTAATTATTTTGCGCGCTCGGTGAGGAAGCGAAGAATTCAAAACATCCTAGCATAGCTACACTCGTTGCAGCGTGGTTATGCCGTCCAACGTAGCTACGCTCGAATCGGGCATGGCTACGCTAAAGCATAGGCGAAATAGTGCCCACAAGGAGGTGCTATAGTGCTCCTGGGTGCTTTAGGCTTCATTTCACAACAAATGGCTAGAATGTAAATCAAATGTCTATTCCTTGATGAACTTTTATTTTATTTTGATGGGATGGTGATGAGTATTAAATTTAAGTCAAGATGATGATGATCATTAAATTTAAGAAAAATGAGTGTCTTTGGTTTTGTTTTAATAAGTTTTGCAATGAGTACAAGTAATAGTTCGAGTGGCATTCCTCTCAAGTTTCAAGTATCATTAAACAAGTTATTTTTATACAAAAACGCTTCTTGCCTTGGGGTAGCTATGTGTATTCTAGCTGTGGGAAGGGCCCAACTTATAGTGGTTGAGTTGTGACTGATCACGCTATTGCTACACACAAGAGCTTTTTTACTAACACAAGGACAATAAACTCTTAGTAGGCTTGCAAAAACATAACAAATAGATTGTTATGGTCTGTTTGGGGTAGTTGCACTTTTTATAAAGTTGGGTCGTACACCTGTTCTGGGAAAGCAACCTTTTAAAGCTGTTGAGGATATTAGAAATATATTATTCTCGAAAAAGTTAGACAATAATTTTTTTTAGTTATCATAGCAGATGTATTTATAAAAAAATACTTTCCGCCACATAAATTTCTAGAAAGTAGCAATAAAACAATAACCAAATAAAATTGTGTTGGTAGTTTAAAAAGCAAAACAACTATAAAATTGCCCCAAATAGACCCTTAGCATTATGTAATTATTGAAGTAATGAGCTTGACGCTCAGAGAAAGAGAAATTTTGATGACTCCAGTGAGTGTGTATTGCATCAATCCCTTTACAACAAATTAGCTTTACAGTACTACATGTTTTTTATGATATATTTTAAAATTTCATCTTCCTTATTTTTTCAAAAAAAAAAAAAAAGAAAAAAAAAGAGAGATAATGGAAGCAGGTATTGGGTAAATGAACATGGCTGCCACGCTTCATGATTTCTATTTGAAGTGTTTCATGTGGTTCCTTTTATTATATCCTGCCCTATTTTCTTTTTTTTTTTCTGGGTTGGTGGGTGGGGCTTAGTAAATTTGTTATAATTAATTATCAACTTAACCTGCTTCTCTTGTGCCTATAATCGCCTTGCTTCCTTGCAGGATTTTACTGGAGTTCCAGCTGTTGTTGATCTTGCATGCATGCGTGATGCAATGAACAAACTTGAGAGTGATTCCAACAAAATCAATCCTTTAGTAAGTAACTCACTCTCATTTATCATAGATGCGGGTGTAATAGTAATTTCGAATCTGATAGCAAATAGCCTAGCAATCCAAATATTGTCGATTTACTTTGTCATTATTTTACATGTGACCTACTCCATGGTTTCGGCGACCTAACACACTACCTACTTGTTTTTGTTTTGTCCTGATTTGCAAGCTGAGGTTCTACTGAACTAAAACTTCATTAGTAAAGCTAATCTTATCACAATTCCATTGCTTATGACAATTTTTGAGTTTTTAGCAATTTTGCAAACCTTAAACTTGCATAGGCAGGTCTATGTGCATGCACACATGCACATATAATTGAGATCTAGTTTTTTAAAATGTACTTCCTAGATGTTCTTTGAACTAATATGAATATAGAGTTTGGGAGTGCAGTTTTCTGGAATTTTTTTAATTATATTTTGTTCGAAATATGATTTTGTTTGGGAAGAGGACAACTGTTTATACTAATTTAGCAAAACTAGTTGCATGTAACCAATTTCCACCCCACAATGCTACATCATCACCAACACTCATTTCAAATGTATCTTCTTCCTCAAATAGTCATGTACTTCGTTGTTCTTTTGTTTTGTTATGCATAAATTTATTATCAGATCGTTATCTTTGTTTGATTAAAAGTGAACGAAAAAACTATATAGTATAGAAATTATTTATCGTGCAAGGAGTTCTTCTTCATGTACTAATCTTAATGTGGAATTGATTGCATAAATAGGAAAATATTGACCTTCATTGCAGGTGCCTAATTTTCTTTTGAGGGATTTGAATATAGAAGATGCAATTCTCATGCATTTACATATCTAACACTGATATTTTGAAATTTACTTATATAACATGTTAGTGTCTTCATCACTCATAAATATGTATTTAATTTCAAAAAAATTAATATCAGTGGAATCACAAGTAGTTGGAGGATGGTGATGATGTTGATTAAGCAGCACTAGTTAAGAATGAATGGAAAATGTTGGTAAGGACAGCCCCAAATCATTGGAATATAATTAATGACGATGAAATTGTTCGGTTGCTCTAATACTTCATAATGGACATTTGTCAACTAAATCCAAATTATGATATGCTTTTCGAAAAAGTTACGATGTAACAAGAACCAAATGAAAAGCTAAATGTTTATCTTGTTGCTAGTATAGTATATTTTCCTATGCTTTTTGGCACGTGTAGGCACATAGAAATACTCAAAATAAATACTCTATGGTAAACTTCTCTAGCTATAGATTGGATGTCTTGACAAAATCTAATTTGTAAAAACTCAATGCTATAGGTTGGATTTTGATATTTGTGAAAGCATGTGTAACAATACCATTATCTACATCATATTGTTTGCTTTGATCTTTTGGTGTAAATGAAGTTGGTATCCAATATTGCTGTATTTCCTAGACAGTGAGATGCTTAGATTACCATTTTACCGGAGCAAATGAGCATTATAGACCACCACTCTTGGTTCATGCCAAATATGTATTGAATAAGTTGGTATTTATTTAAATTGACAACTAATATTGTCTTTTATGGTAAGTTGTATAAATAATTGAAGTGCGAGTAGTATATTATTTTAGTATGTCACCGAAAACATAGAAGGTGGTACATTTTGGTATATGGGATATATGATGAAAATGATTTAGTTTCGACTCAACAACCAAACTCTAAATGGGATATACAGTACCCTACAGTAAAAAATTGAAAGACGGTCGGTCTTTGCATATATACAATATATCTTTGATCTATATAAAAAAGTGTATTTGAACTTATGATACGATGATGTATGAGCTCACGTTTTCTCACTTTTCATGAAGACTCATGCTCATACATTAGCTTCAATAAAGGCTCGAAACATACAAAATTGAGGCCAGGATTCACAAATATGAGTAAAACATGCATCGTATAATAGTTCATACCAGACGTGAGAGTCTGTACTATTGAGCGAACAAGGAAACTATAAAATAGCAAATTATTTTTATTAAAGCAATTGGAAGTCGAACAACCTATCATCATTGAAATTGAATACAATTTTGTGCTCTGATTGCACTTTTTTAAACCCCAAGTATATGAGATACAGTAAACGGACCTTATTCTCAAACTGCTTGACAAGCTTTTTAAGTTTAGATGAAGTAGAGATGATTTATAATCCATATAAAGAAAATTTTATCGACAACCCAATAAGGATGCAATGCATGAAAGGTAATTTTTATTTAAGAAATGCAAACACTAATAGTTTGCCATCCTAACTAGGTTAAATCACGTGGTCTGACATTAAGTCATAAAATTAAAATACACCCCTCTTGGTCATAATTATTGACATATTTTAATTATAGACATAATAAATAAAAAAAAAAAAGAAAAACAAAATTTTGACGCTATGCATGGATCACTACTATTGTGACTCTTATGAAATTATGATGATAATAAACATAGGGGTTTTCATCAATTTTTTGTTAATGAAACTGAACTATCTGATTAATGGACAAAGGCTATAAATATAATTGAAAAAATATTCAAATTGAATACAATTGATTGAAACAAGGGACTCTTGTATAGATAATTGATACACAATCTCAAAGAAAAAATTATTGCTGATGAATATGCTTTTGTGATAATGATTCACCAATCGACTTGATTGTATTTCTTAAATGAAAATAATATTGGATGTGTTTGCTAGACAAACTCCATAGATAATGTTTATTAATTAAGACATGAATGACGTAGGCAATATACTATGATTAATAAGGTATACTTTGATAACAATTATAAGGATTGAATCGATTAGACCTATCTTATATGGCTAAACTTATTAAAAGTGACATTGACTAAATAATTATAACCATGCTATACATTTTATAAACAACCGCATGAAGAATTAATGTTAATGAATTTGACTGCTAAAACACATAAAAGTGTTTTCAGTCCATTATATATCTATCTATCTATCTATCGATTGATCATCTTAGGGGTAAGTGGGTGGTAGTGGTTGGGTGGTGGTGTATATGTTGGTGGTATGGTGTTGATGATGTGTTGTGTGTGTGGAGTTGATTAAATTACTGCTCTGTGCGTGAGGTGGTGACAGAGGTTATGTGTAGGTGGTGTTTATGTTATTTATGTGGTTGGGTGGTTGCGGTGTATATGTTGGTGGTACAATGTGTGACTTGAAGATGGTGTTTATATGTGCAATTTAGTGTTTATTTTTTATGGCAAATGTTAAATGTTTATGTTGTTAGTATTTTTCATGCTAGTATACACAATGGTTAGAACCAAATTTGGTTGGTTCATCTGCAATGTCAGATAAGGGTGCAAAAATAATATTTTGCGACCTATGTCTCAAGAAGGTTGAGAATGAAAATATGCCGACAATCTATTTTAACAAGGAGTGATGTCAAAATGTTATAAAAAATATAAAGAAAATACATATAGAGAGTACAATAGGATGCAGTTGAAAAACCAGTGGGATCAACTGAAAAAAGATTGAAAAATATGTAAGGAATTGAAGCGGGAATCATGGGCTTGGGTTAGGATCGGATAAATCGAACAATTGATGCTTTTAAGGAATGGTGGTCTGAGAGACTAACGGTGAGCATTTTTGAAATGTTCACTATTTTTGTTCATTTTTTAATTTTTTTTTCAAGTCCATTAACATGTCGATTAAATGTGTAGGTGGTGTCATCTCTAAAAAAATTAAATACAGAGGCATCAATCCTGAGTTGGAAGAGAAGTTAGATTGTATATTTGGTGGTGTAGTTACTACGGACAATAACGCATGTGCCCCTAGTGAGATGGGGTTTGGTGACATCCCTGTAAATTTGACAGCTGACAAAACAGGTGATTCCAATGAAGTCCTCAGATTGAACCGTAATGAGATCGAATTCACTAGTAGATCAAAGTGGCTCAGGGTTCATAAGAAGAAAAAGGGAGCTGCTTTCATTAGAAGTCAGATATCATAGTTAGTGCCTTCATGCACCAATGACTTTTACCATCTCAAACAACATTTTTCCAACACGTATTGCAAATTCTGGAGACAACTTCAGTAATTTACGAGAACATGCTGCTGCATTTGTTCTCTATGAAGTTGATTCAAGATCTGACCCTTAGAGAGTTTTTCATGACGATAGTCGCCGACCGTAGGGTGGACTACCTACGTTATTTTCATGAGAACAGTGAAGCTCGAGGGACACTTTTTCTTCACTAGATTTTTGTGGGATATTTCATATTTATTATTTGTCTATTTACGTTAGGCATGCCACTTTGGACATTTTTTCACTAGATGCTTATGATTTTTTTTGCTGCTTTGGATGAGAGTTTTTCATTCTTCGTTATGTTTTCCATTTACTTTAGTAATGTTATTTTGTTGTTAATTTTGTTCATAACATGATTGTTAGCTAATTCGTTGATGCTTTTTTTTTGCTACTTCAACACCGAAATACATGAATGCTAATAGAGAAAGATGTAGAGGGAGAGTTGTAGCTGTAGTGTTTTTGATGTACGAATATTATAACTCATGCATAGAACACTCCTCGTGTATGACATCTTCTTATGTTAGTGGCAAATGGGTTGTGGAACTGTTTGCGGGCCATCAAACAAGGTTTAACAATATGCTATGCATGACATAGGTGGTATTCACTGATTTTTAGACGAATTTCACAGAAATCATGGACTTCATGACTCCATCAGGACGACTTCACAAATGGTATTAGCAATAACTCTCTATATATTATTGTAGAATGAATTAAAACAAGGAGTTATGAAACGATTTCAACACCCTTTCAAGACAATTTACAGATAATTCTCAGTAGGGTTGAATGCACTTGTTAGTTTTTTATCATAAATCATGAAGCCAACAGATCCTACATTCGAACGTACCCCCACAGAGATTTCACACTATCCGTGGCATATGACATACTTTTAGGTATTTTCTCCTATATAGTATATTCAATCTTCATTTGAATGTAATAATTACAGGACTCTTCATTATA